GGAAGAGGGGGCGGGTGACTGGTCCAGATGAGATCGTCATTGATTTATGGAAGGATACATGTAAAGAAGGGATGGTGTGGTTAACAAGGTTTTTTGGTTTTAAAATTGCTAAGAAGCCTGAGGAATGGTGGATGTTGGAATGCATGAGTTCAACCCTTTCTGTGTTGTTAAGTATTGACTCACAGGTTTTGATAATTGACAAACACAATTTATTCAAGTCAAGATCAAAGTGCTACAACGACAAACACGAAGACTTGAAGTGTCATTCCTTGAAGTATTCAAGAAGGTGCACAGGGTTTTATTGGAGTCCAAGACGCTTTCGAAGCGCCTAACGAAGGACTCAGAGGAGTAGAAGATTTCCGAAGACTTTTATTTATTTGAGTCGTAGGAATATTTGTAAGGATGACAAAAATATCTTCTCTCCAAAATTATTTTTATGAGTGTTAAAATAAAAATTATATTTATTTTTTTGGAGTCAGTTGAAAAATCTTTTAACTCTTCAAAATACTTTTATTGAGTCAGTTACAAAAAGTGTGTCAAACATTTATCAAAATATTTATTTTGATATTAGAAAATTTTTTTGGAAAGCAAAAATATTTTAATCAAATATTTTCGTGTTCATCGTTTGACACACAAAATAATTTTGGGACTCACTTTTTACTTCCTTATTCAAATTCATTGAATAAGAGAAGGAGCGTTCTCTGATTCCCGTTGTCTCAAACAACGAGTGTTACGCCAATTCTGCTCTCCATCGCAACTGGCTTGGGCCCTTTGTGTTTGCGCATGATTTCTTCTTTTAATCGATTAAACTTCTTTGTTTAATCGATTATTGTTCAGCACATTTAATTAATCGATTTTTCCTCCTTGTTTAATCGATTAGTTGCTTGTTGCGTTGGATTGCTTAGGTCCTGTGTGTAATCGATTTTCCTCTTGCCTTTAATCGATTAGTTCACACAGAGCCTTCTAATCGATTAATCCCTTTAATTTAATCGATTTTCCTTCAGCTGCATTGATCGTTGCTGATGATGCATTAATCGATTATTGGTGATGCATTAATCGATTATTATGCTGCATCTTTTCTGCACAGCTTCTTTTCTTGGACCAACGGATATATTTCTTCACCTCCTATTTAAGCATCCTTCCATGGTCATTTTTAATAACAAGAAACACTCCAACACTCCCCATTCTTGAGGTGTTAATCCTCCATCAATCATTCCTCAAATTTATATCATTTTGAGAGAAAACTATTTGTTTTTAAGAGAGGTTTCTTGTCATCCATTAGAGCTTTAATCATTTCTCATATCTACTCTTTTGAGAGCCATTGTTGAGAGGTTGAAGAAGATTGTTCTTCTTATTGTTTAAGACTTATGTGACTTAAGTCTTGAGTGTGAAGTCTTGTAGAGGGCATATCTACGAGCGATTGTGTCGAGGCTTGTGGGATTCAAGTTCTCGGTTTGTAAACGGTTTGTTAAGCACCCGTAAGCTTAACGGAAGTAGTGGTAGCTTCGAGAGAGTCTCTCGAGGAACTGGACTAGCCACGAGGTGGTGAACCAGTATACATCGGTGTGTTCTTTGCCTTCTCTCTTTTATTTCCGCTGCACTTACGTTTATATTTTTAATCCTGCGAAAATCGGTAAACATTCTCAACAACTCTATTCAC